GACTGAGCCAAGCCGAGTTTGATGAACTGTTGTCGGTGAAGGCTGGAGGATTTCCCTCGAAACACTGACAGCAGGTTCTACGTCACAATCACGCCCCCACAAGAGCAAGATTCCGATTGGTTAACGCGGCGCGAATGTACGCTGAAGTTCAGATTTTCGAAATCGAGAGATTCATCCACGCGCAAAACGCTCAATTCGCCCTGCGCAATTTGCGTCATTCGCGCCGCGCCATTCGCGCGTATCGCGTCGCAGGATGTCTATTCGCGCGTTTGCATTGACTTAACATGTAAATCCCTCGCGCTTGACGCGCGTGCCGCGTCTGGTGTGAACGCAGCATAAAAGACTTGAGGCTGTAATTGCTGCCAAAGGTGCATCAACAAAGAATTGAGATAAGGCTGTGAATACATACAGTATGTACATGTGATTTTTCAGGCTTTTTATTTTGACTAAAAAACATACTATAGTTACTAAAGTAAACATTCAAAGCACAGCACTTTGATCTTCAGCCAATTTTGACATTATCGTGCATCTGTGTTATCGTACACATCAAATGATTGAAATTATATTCAATACTCAGCAATTCCTCTGTGTACTGCTAGAAGTAAGCCCATGCACTACTAGTGGTACACGTACCACAGTTTGAGAACCACTGGCCTAGAGCTTGGTTAACTGTGATATCAGTGAGTTACTATTATCTGCTTGCATTCAAGGTGTTGAAAATACAAAATAACTAAAATTTGCATGACAAAATGTTAATCTTGCTAACAACTGGCTTAGCAAAACATTAAAAGCGGCATGTTAAGAGTGTTGAGAAGATGTTAAAATAGGCTAGAAATGTGTGACCACCATGGTAAAATGTTCAGTTTGTCAGACACATATGCTGTATGGCCAGTATCTGAAAAATCCCAAATGCCAAGCTTATTAATTTTAGCCATCTAAAAATATAGTAAGCCTTATTTTGAAGTTGAATTGAACAATGTGCTTCGAATTGGCACAGTAATTTTCCACAGCCAGTCATCAGACCCCCCGCGCTGTCCTAAATTAATTTGAGCTTCTAAATAATGCCTGTCCAATTATGATTGATTAAGGCTCACAGTGGTAGGAACATCTAAATTTAATTTAATATAATCTAGGTTTGATTTAATATAATCAGGTATTTGAAATTGACACACATTTACCTTTGCAATTTCCTGACCTAGATACTTGAAAAAGTGCTTATCGAGTTCCAATTCATTACGTTTTTTTCTCTAGATGTCCTGCTTAGGCTTACTCTTTCATGCTAAATCAAATCACTATCTGAAAAAGCACACTCTGGATATATTAAAATCTTGCCATTACTTTGCCTGAAGAAAATGTGGTGCTTGCCCATGTAAAGCATGCTATGAGATATTTCACTCATGCTTTTGTGCAGTCTTTACCTTAATTTGGTACTTGGTTTGTGAATTTTTGTCCATCACTATTTATAAGACATCTAATAGACATCCAAACATAAATATCTTTGCTAAAACAAGGCTAAATTTGGCCTGTCAGTGAAGATTTACAGTAACAAACATCTAACAATGTCTATTTTTGGACTTTTGTTAGACGTCTCTTAGACTTTCAACTACAGCCCACATTTAGCCTTGTTTCAGCCATGATGTCTTTGTTTGAATGTCTAACAGATGTCATTTAAACATCAAATCCTTGGTAGGAAGGCTTAAATTCACCAAACATCTTAAAATCTATAAATTTTAATCATAAAAACTGTGTGCAGTTGTGTATCTCTACTTTAACGAAAGCACTTGGTTTGTGCATTTTGTCCCTCACTACTTAGAAGACATTCAATAGACGTCCAAGCATAAACATCTTGGCTAAAACAAGACAAAATTTGGTCTGTCAGTGAAGGTCCACAGTAATAGATATCTAACAATGTCTATTTTTGTTCTCTGTGTCATGTGTGTTAGACTTTTAACGACAGCTTAAATTTAGTCTTGTTTTAGCTATGACAACCTTGTTTGGATGTCTAATAGATGTCATTTAAACATAAAATCCTTGGTAGGGAGGCTTAAATTCACCACATCTTAAAAATCTATAAATCATAATCATAAAAAGTTTGTGCAGTTGTGAATCTCTACGTTTACTCATCCGCTTGGTTTGTGTATTTTAGCCACCATTACTTAAAAGACATTCAATAGACATCCAAGCATAAACATCTTGGCTAAAACAAGACAAAATTTGGTCTGTCAGTGAAGGTCCACAGTAATAGATATCTAACAATGTCTATTTTTGGACCTTTGTTAGACATCTATTAGACTTTCAACGACAATTTTAGCAATTTTGGCCAAATTTACCCCTATTTTAGCCATGATGTCTTTGTTTGGATGTCTAATAGATGTAATTTAAACATAAAATTCATGGTAGGGAAGCTTGAATTTACCACACATCCTGAAATCTATAAATTATAATCATAAAAAGTTTGTGCAGTTATTTATCTCTACTTTAACTCAAGTACTTGGTTTGTGTATTTTGACCATCAGAACTTAAAAGACATCTAATAGACATCTAAACATAAATATGTTGGCTAAAACAAGGCTAAATTCTGTCTGTCAGTGAAGAACTACAGTAACAGAAATCTAACAATGTCTATTTTTGGACTTTTGTTAAACGTCTATTAGACTTTCAATGACAGCCCAAATTTGGTCTTGTGTTAGCCATGATGTCTTTGTTTGGATGTCTAATAGATGTCATTTAAACATAAAATCCTTGGTAGGGAGGCTTAAATTCACCACATCTTAAAACCTCTAAATTATAGTCATAAAATGTTTGTACAGCTTTTTACTCAAGCTCTTGGTTTGTGTATTTTGTCTACCACTACTTAATAGACATCTAACAGACATCTAAACATAAACATCTTGGCCAAAACAAGGCTAAATTTGGCCTGTCAGTGAAGATCTACAGTAACAGATACCTAACAATGTCTATTTTTGGACTTTTGTTAGACGTCTCTTAGACTTTCAACTACAGCCCAAATTTAGCCTTGTTTTAGACATGATGTCTTTGTTTAGATGTCTACTAGATGTCATTTAAACATCAAATCCTTGGTAGGGAGGCTTAAATTCACCAAACACCTTAAAATCTATAAATTTTAATCATAAAAAGTGTGTGCAGTTGTGTATCTCTACTTTAACGAAAGCACTTGGTTTATGCATTTTGTCCCTCACTACTTAGAAGACATCTAATAGACATCTAAACATAAACACCTTTGCTAATATAAGACTAAATTGGGCCTGTCAGTGAAGATCTACAGTAACAGACATCTAACAATGTCTATTTTTGTTCTCTGTGTCATGTCTGTTAGACTTTTAACGACAGCTTAAATTTAGTCTTGTTTTAGCTATGACAATCTTGTTTGGATGTCTAATAGATGTCATTTAAACATAAAATCCTTGGTAGGGAGGCTTAAATTCACCACATCTTAAAATCTATAAATCATAATCATAAAAAGTTTGTGCAGTTGTGAATCTCTATGTTTACTCATCCGCTTAGTTTGTGTATTTTAGCCACCATTACTTAAAAGACATTCAATAGACATCCAAGCATAAACATCTTGGCTAAAACAAGACAAAATTTGTTCTGTCAGTGAAGGTCCACAGTAATAGATATCTAACAATGTCTATTTTTGGACCTTTGTTAGACATCTATTAGACTTTCAACGACAATTTTTAGCAATTTTGGCCAAATTTTGCCCTTATTTTAGCCATGATGTCTTTGTTTGGATGTCTAATAGATGTAATTTAAACATAAAAATAATGGTAGGGAAGCTTGAATTTACCACACATCTTAAAATCTATAAATTATAATCATAAAAGGTTTGTGCAGTTATTTATCTCTACTTTAACTCAAGTACTTGGTTTGTGTATTTTGACCATCAGAACTTAAAAGACATCTAATAGACATCTGTATTTTGACCATCAGAACTTAAAAAGACATCTAATAGACATCTAAACATAAACATGTTGGCTAAAACAAGGCTAAATTCTGTCTGTCAGTGAAGATCTACAGTAACAGAAATCTAACAATGTCTATTTTTGGACTTTGTTAGACGTCTATTAGACTTTCAATGACAGCACAAATTTGGTCTTGTGTTAGCCATGATGTCTTTGTTTGGATGTCTAATAGATGTCATTTAAACATAAAATCCTTGGTAGGGAGGCTTGAATTCGCCACATTTTAAAATCTATAAATTATAATCATAAAAAGTTGTGCAGTTGTGTATCTCTACTTTAACTGAAGCACTTGGTTTGTGTATTTTGACCATCAGAACTTAAAAGACATCTAATAGACATCTAAACATAAACATTTAGGCTAAAACAAGGCTAAATTTGGCCTGTCAGTGAAGATCTACAGTAACAGACATCTAACAATGTCTATTTTCGGACTTTTGTTAGACCTATTGTACTTTCAGTAGCTCAAATTTAGCCTTGTTTTAGGTATGATGTCTTTGTTTGGATGTCTAATAGATGTCATTTAAACATCAAATTCATGGTAGAAAATTACATTTTCACGTTCATAACAACTGCAGATTAATACTCTCTCTCTGTTGGTTTGCTATGAGTGAATGATGCACAAAAGAAAGCCTCCATAATCAATAATCCATTTCAGTTGGAAGTACAGAGACATACTGAAATAAAAGTCTCAGCAACGTGTTACTAAGTCAAATGAACACTTCTTCAGAATAGAATTGTCCTGCAAAATATATTTATAACAAATAATAAAAAAAAAAAAAAAAAAGATTTATATGGAAATGTGGACTATTTTAGGCAAGTATATTATAATTATATTACCTAAAATGTAATGTAATCCCTTACTTTACAAATTCAGTAAATAAGTAATTTAATTACAGTAACTAATTACGCCTATCACTGAAGATAACAGAGGAAAAAGCATGCTATGCTTTTATTCGTGTTATTGTGCAGTTTCTGTGGTGTTGTGAGCGGCTAATGCCTTGTTCTCGTCTGCAGACCATGGTGACCCCGCTGACGCAGAAGTACTTTGGCTTTGGCGAGCTGGGCAACAGTGTGATGTACAGCCTGTGTGGGGTGGAGGTAATTGCAGGTTTCTTCCTGGTGCGCTGGCTGAGCCGTGTGCTGGAGGACCGGGTGGTGCTGGCAGTGGGGCTGCTCATCTGCAGCGGGGCCTGTGTCTGGTGCCTCATCTTCCTGGCCAATCCACAGGGTGTGTTTCTGTGTATGTGTGTGTGCGTGGCAGACGGCCAGAGAAACTGGCATACACCTGGGCATGGACAGACACAATATGTCTGCTTAGTTTGCTGCCAGCTCGATGATATGCGTTATTAGTTTGGAACTGCTTTGAAATCTATCTATCTATCTATCTATCTATCTATCTATCTATCTATCTATCTATCTATCTATCTATCTATCTATCTATCTATCTATCTATCTATCTATCTATCTATCTATCTATCTACCTACCTATCATCTATCTATCTATCTATCTATCTATCTATCTATCTATCTATCTATCTATCTATCTATCTATCTATCTATCTATCTACCTATCATCTATCTATCTATCTATCTATCTATCTATCTATCTATCTATCTATCTATCTATCTATCTATTATCTATTATCTATCTATCTATCTATCTATCTATCTATCTATCTATCTATCTATCTATCTATCTATCTATCTATCTATCTACCTACCTATCATCTATCTATCTATCTATCTATCTATCTATCTATCTATCTATCTATCTATCTATCTATTTACCTACCTATCATCTACCTATCATCTATCTATCTATCTATCTATCTATCTATCTATCTATCTATCTATCTATCTATCTATCTATCTATCTATCATCTATCTATCTATCTATCTATCTATCTATCTATCTATCTATCTATCTATCTATCTATCTATCTATCTATCTATCTATTTACCTACATATCATCTACCTATCATCTATCTATCTATCTATCTATCTATCTATCTATCTATCTATCTATCTATCTATCTATCTATCTATCTATCTATCTATCTATCTATCTATCTATCTATCTATCATCTATCTATCTATCAAAATATTTTTATATTGCTTTAACCTATTTGAATAAGATAATCAGGTTTCTAGTGCATTTAAGAGATAAGAAGTTTAACTTATTATTTTAATCAGTTTAATTAATGTAAGTTGACATGACTAGAAAACTTCATTTGATTCAACTAAAACATTTTATGCAGCAGAAATTTACAGTCTGTCTGTTTGTCTGTCTGTCTAGTTATCTTTCCGTCTGTCTGTCCGTCCAACCCAGGCTCAAACTGAAAACATACCTCTATATACATTTTTGTAGAGCGCCAAATATGTCCCAAGAGCTTTTTTTTTTTTTGCAGTCTTTGTTTTCGCAAATCCGCCAGAGGCCGTTGTGTATGCTTTTTCAGGTCTCCAATTTCTTTCATGAGTGCCATTCGCGCCTGCTGTTTTTGTGTAAATCCACCAGAGACCACTGTCGACTGACTGACTGACCGATCGAATGACCCACCCTCCTCCTTCCCTAAACCCAGCCAATAGTGTTTTCAAATGCATCGATTGACCCACCCACCCACTTCCCCAAACCCATCCAACAAGGTTTTCAAAAGCAATCCAGAAAAGAAAAGCCATATTTACCACGTTTTTAAATTTTACCACATTCTCACCCTGTTATTTACTTGTATATTGTAGTTTTTGGATTCTGTTTTTGTCTTTCTTAAATCGTTCTTCACCGGACTTGAACGCCATCGTCGTGGTCAGCTGCTCTCTGCATCTCAAGTCCGCCGATGTACATGGTAAGCTAACTGGACAAATTGGTAACTGCGAAAATGTTGTCCATGCGGAGGTAATCGGTCAGCTGCTAGCGTGAAAAAGAACAACATCATACTGCCATACGATTGGGCGACACAGTGGCGCAGTAGGTAGTGCTGTCACCTCACAGCAAAAAGGTCACTGGTTTGAGCCTCAGCTGGGTCAGTTGGCACTTCTGTGTGGAGTTTTCATGTTCTCCCCGTGGTATAATTAGGTAAATTGTCCGTAGCGTATGTGTGTAAATGAAAGTGTGTGGGTGTTTCCCAGTGATGGGTTGCAACTGTTGCTGCATAAAAACATTTGCTGGATAAGTTAGCGGTTCATTCCGCTGTGGTGACCCCAGATTAATAAAGGGACTAAGCCGGAAAGGAAATGAATGAATGAAGTTTTTAGTTACAATATTCCCAAAATCATTCGGCATATATCTGCTGATTTTATTTTATTTTTTTACAAAATTCTGCGCAGAAATGGAAAAAAATGCCTGCAGATTCTGTATGGCCTTACTGATAGGAAAATTAACTGTTCACAGTCTGTGATAATGAATAGCAATTATAGCAGCGGCTGGGCAACCGGAAACAACGCATCCGGTCTGGATCACCATATTTGTGAAATAGGCCTATTTTTTAAATATTTAAATGTGTGAAAATGCTAACTACATGCTAGCAATGTGACAAATATGTTATCAACATATTAATATGTGTTACACTGTCAGAAATAAAAGTACAAAAGCTATCGTATTGCATTTACCATTACAAAAGATATACTTGTATTCTTTTAAGATTCAATATGGGCCAACTGGTTACACTACCTGACAAAAGTCTTGTCGTTGATTTCAGTTGTAAGAGCAACAAATTATAACTGGACTTCTAGTTGATCATTTGAAAAAGTGAGTGAAGGTGGATTTTTCTGACGAATCATCTGTTGGACTGTGAGAGGTCTGCAGAGTTGACGGCAACATCAACAGCCTGAGGTATCAAGACATTTGTGCCCATCACATTACAAACCAAAGGAGAGGGCAAATTCTTCAGCAGGAGAGCGCTCCTCATACTTCAGCCTCCACATCAACGTTTCTGAAAGCAGTAGGTCAAGGTGCTTCAGAATTGGCCAGCCCAGTCACCAGTCATGAACATTATTGAGCATGTCTGGGGTAAGATGAAGGAGGAGGCATTGAAGATGAATCCAAAGAGTCTTGATGAACTCTGGGAGTCCTGCAAGAACGCTTTCTTTGCCATTCCGGATGACTTTATTAATAAGTTATCTGAGTCATTGCAGAGATGTATGGACGCAGTTTTCCAAGGTCATTGGAGTTATACACAATGTACACTCTTTTTCCAAGGCACCATGATTTTATATTCTACTGTACATTATTTCTGTTCAGTGACAAGACTTGTATCTAAGCAAAGTCAGACCTTATGTCCTAATTAAATCATTAAAAATCAAGGCATGATCATATTTTATTTTGGTAAAATAAACGTAATCTAAAGGCCTTTGCCTTTCATATAAACCACTTCTGATACAAATTGATTAACTAGAAGTCAAGTTATTATTTGTTGTTCCTAAAACATGGATAGGCAACAAGATATGAACCCAAATCTTTAGGTACAGCCCCAGTACAGCTTGTGTACCTTTATTTCTGAGAGTAGAAACATACTTACATGATAACAAAATCCTAAAATCTGCCATCAGCATGTTAACGCTGTGCTGAAGTGCTAACAGATTTGATCAGAGATTGTGTTCAGCTGTCTCCTGTTGACGTTGAAATGCTATTCTCCCTTTTATTCTCTACGGATTTGTCTTTTGATCAGGTGGTTTGGGGTTTGAGTTGTTCGAGTTTATCATCGGAGTGTTCCTGCAGTTACTGGGACTTCCTTTCGTTGCTGTGTCTCAGGTGTCCCTCTTTTCTAAGGTCACAGCTGAAAAAACACAAGGTAAGAAAAAGAAAAGTCCAAAGAGAAAACAAAATGAAACCCAAGAAAAAGACAGATGAGACCTTGAGTACAGTCATGTTTGTGTGAGGGTTACATTTTGTCACTGTTTAAATATTAAAAACTATGGAATAAAATCACTGTCATAAATATTTCATGCGTAAATAAAATTCACGCATCCGTAATTATAAAATTGTACAGAAAAGGAGTCGTAATTTTACGAGGGTACAATTCCAAAATCTGCGATTAGAACAGACACAGATACAACATTTCCTTTGTATGTTTGATTATAACTGAGAAATTTATGATGGGTGTACTTAACAAACACGAAACACAGTTTCACCAGGGACACGAAGTCCTGATTACGAGTACGAATCAAACAGCCACACACCACTGTCAAAATTACGTCACCGCTGTCACAGGCATTAATAAACAAGCGAGAGTCATCGATCACAACGGCGCACCTGCTGGGCGCTCAGAGTATATATATATATATATATATATATATATATATATTTATTTATTTATATATAAATCCTTAATATATTATATATATTTTATATTTAAAGATATTTGCGTATTGCTCTACATCTTGTGTGTAGTGTGTAAGCCAGGCGCACTTTGCGGCAGACAATTTGTTGTCGCCGACTTTGCTCTGGTCTAAAGAACAGACTATTTACAGTTTCTCAAAATAGCAATGCGCCAAAACAATGCTGCTTTTTTAGACCAGAACGCCTATGGGCGCACATTTAAGCACAAATGCATTTGCTATTTAAACAGTGTGGCACAACACCCATCGCACCGCGCCTTGCGCCACATTGCGCCGGGTGTATGATAGGGCCCACTGACTTAACCAACAGATGTCATGTTATAGTTAACAGTGTTCAGTGATTCACTCATACTACGCTCGCTGCCTGTAATGTGAAACACAGTGAAAATGGACGTCATTAAGTCTCAACCTTTATTACAGCTCATGACGGACATTTCTCTAAGAAGGAATAACAATACTCTTACCTGAGACGCTGTGTGGGGGCTCTGAGCGCCCAGCAGGCGCGCCGTTGTGATCGATGGCTCTTGCTTGTTTATTAATGCCTGTGACAGCGGTGACGTAATTTTGACAGTGGAGTGTCGCAGTTTGATTCGTACTCGTAATAAGGACTTTGTGTCCGTGGTGAAACTGTATTTCATGTTTGTAAAGTAAACTCATTGTAAATTTATCAGTCATATACAAACAGACAAAGGAAATGTCGTATCTGTGTCTGTTCTAGTTACAGATTTTGGAATTGTACCCTTGTAAAATTACGAGTCCGTTCCGTTTTACTGTATTATTTTATAAATACCAATGCGAGAATTTTATTTACACACAAAATATTCATGACAGTGATTTTATTCCATAAAAAACCACATGCAGATTCTAATGGTTGTGTATTTTGTGCGTCTTCAGGCTTTAGTCAGGGCGTGCGACGGTCAGTTGGGGGTCTCGCCACCATTCTTGGTCCCCTGTGGGCAGGGGGTCTAATAGGAAATTTATATGTGATGTTGGGTATGATGATGCTTCTGCTGACCCTCATCATGGTGAGTCAACAGACCCGTTATGACAGAAGATTTTTCCGGTGTGCCATCATAACACACAACATTGACCACCTCAATTAAGGTTACATGTCTCGCTATGTGCAAACAGTGTCTATTATAGATCCAGTCAACTGAGCAAAAAATCTATATTACAGGAGATTGTTTGGCCATTAGGATGTGTGGCTTTTTTCTTCCAAAAGGGTGATTTAGACATATAGGACATGCTAGATTTGAACATTTTAGACAGAGAATAGGTTACTTTTTAAGTATTAAGAAATGGAATTGTGCAATCTTAAAATGTCATTTTAACTTCACATAAGTAGCAGTTTTAGATCTTTCGCTTTAAATGTGTTTAAAAGGATTAATTACACAAAGTCAATAGCCCCTTTCACACATACAGACCTTTCCGGAAAATTGCCAGCAATTTTCCGGAAAGGTTGTATGTGTGAACAGGTCCTTTTTGAAAATACCGGTAAATTCGTTCTGGCTATTTTCCGGAAAGAGAAGTTGTAACATTACCGGCAATTTGCCGGAATGCTGCGCTGTGTGAATGCAGAAGGAAGATTCCCGTAATAAGCGTGTGCACGTCTAGAACGTGCTGACGTGAGACGTCTGCTTTAGCCAATCACAACAGTCAGACGCATTTACGTCCGCGCGGTTTGTGAGGATAAAAGCCTTTGAATATTTTTCCAGACACATTTAGCTGCTAGAAGTTAGTCAGATCACGTTTATATGTTCTTCTTAATGCCAACTGTGTAAATAATCATCGATGAGATGCTTATGATAAGCCGTTGTTTGTTTACGTTCGTGTGCCTGTGAAACAGCCTGTGAGCGCCAGCACACGCACATATTATGAACATCTCGACATGCGAAAGTGATCCTGAGAAAGTTGTTCACAATATTGATCATCCACAGAGTTTGTAATTTAGTCAAATGTTTACAAATACAAGCGCAGCCGTTTAAAGCTCATTTGTGGTGAATGATGTCAGAATTTACCGGTATTTTGGAATGGATGTGTGAATGCTCTTTTCCGGAAAATTTCCGTAACGTCCTCGCCTGTGTGAACAGCGCTTTTTTGAATATACCGGTAAAGTCGTTCCGGAAATTTTCCAGATATTTACCGGTATCACTGTGTGAAAGGGGCCATTGTCATGCTATGCTGTAATCCAGTGGTTCCCCACCTTTTTTTGCCTGAGACCTTCTTTTACCTTGGAAAATATTGTGAGGCCCCCTCCACATTTAATGATATTACCGCTTATAAAAGTTTGCAGTCATGATGACAAAAAAATGTTGTTTTCAAACAAATGATATGTTCATTACTATATCTAGATATGTTTATGCACAAATAATAGCCTAATGTAAAATATAAAGCAAAACATTAGTAGGCCATTTGTAACTGAAAAGCATAAGCCTTTGGCCTTTAAATTGGCCCTATTTGAAATTCAATAACAAAAACATCAGTATTCACACTGGAAAAAGCTATATAGGCTATTACAATTTAATACTTGCATGTTATTTGTTATGATGAGGGAAGGTGTTTCGTAGGTTGCTAGACGACCATTAACAGTTTACTCAGAGGATGACAAGCTGAAAAAGCATTGCTGTCGCTCTGATACAAGTTTTATTTGTGGAGAAAAGTACAAAGCACTGTAGTGTTGGTGTGTTCTGTGTTTGTCTGAGAAAACTAATCTAACTAAAATGTGAATATTCCATACAAGCTGAAGCTGATCAGTCAATTCTTGTCATGTGACTTGCGGTGCGTTCGCAGCCCGGAGGTTCATTGGTGCGAGCGCGTCACGCCACTTGTTTGTGCAAACCGCACACCTCCATTGGAAACAACAAACTTGTGCAAACTCTAGAAATACGCGATATGCGAACGGCCGTCATCATTTGTGATCTCCATCAGTTGATTTTCTTGCACAGACATGCTTGATTCACCTGATTTTTTGACAAATGGGTTGCAGATGCTTTCCTTGGCAGTTCCTTCACTTGGCCTTTTCCCCTTGGCAAAGAAACTTTCCAAGGATGTCTGTTTCCCACTTATTGTGCTGCTTTTAGGTTAAATTTGGGCGCTAAAGTGACCGAGATGTAAGTGACAGAACATGGTGATTTATCAAAATAAAAGACTTTTCAAAATAAAAGATCGTTCAGACTCTACCCTACTGAAAAAAACCTGCTTAAACCAGCCTAGGCTGGTTGTCTGGTTTTGGCCTGTCAACCAGTCTGGTTTTGGAGGGTTTTTGGCCACTTCCAGGCTGGTTTCCAGCCATTTACAGCCTGGTCTTAGCTGGTTAGGCTGGGAGATGACCTGCTAAAACCAGCTTGACCAGCCTAGCCAGGCTGGGAGCCCAGCCAAAACCAGCTATGTCCAGCTTAAACCAGGCTAGTTAACCTAATTAACCCAGTTAAGCCTTTAAATGTCACTTTAAGCTGTATAGAAGTGTCTTGAAAAATATCTAGTAAAATATTATTTACTGTCATCATTGCAAAGATAAAACAAAATACGTTATTAGAAATGAGTGATTAAAAGTATTATGTTTAGAAATGTGTCGAAAAAAATCAGAAACAGAAATTGGGGGAAAAATAACAGGGGGGCTAATAATTCTGACTGTAAGTGCAATCCTTCTTTTTTACATTCTATATATGAAATATTGGCAAACATATTATTAAATCTGAACAAACACATTGCAAATGTGGCTTACATCTGTGTATAGAAGTGATGCCATGCTGCTTTTCAGTAAATGTTGAGCCTTACTGCCATTTGATTGGAGGACAATCTCATGGACTGCAGGCTTTAAATTAGATGAAATGCTCAGGAATCACAAAAACATGGGCTGACATGTGATGTCCATTGTGAAGGGAATAACTTTAAAAAATGGTAATGTGACTTTTAAGTATGCTATGTGATCATTTTTTTCATTTTGCTAAATATACATTTTTGAATTATCTGAAAGTCTATTGTTATTGCAATATATATGGTAGATTTTGAATTTTTTTGTTAAGGTTCACAATCTAAAGGATAATGTGAGCAATAGGATTATTAGTATTGTAAATGTGCAAAAACAGAATATAGAAAAGCCCATAAACAGGCTTGCAATTTTTATGTAAAATAGTTTTCTATTTGTATAAAAAGAAAAATAAGAAAAAACACATTTATTATAAAAAAAGAAAGTTTCATTATTTAACAAATGTCTGCTATAACACAACATGTTAAGTTTGTGTTAGCATTTTAGTACACAGTCAGTTATTATGTATGCAGTATGTACACTTTGTTTTGATTTGCATGTAAAATGATTCTGTAACACTGAGACTTACTGGTTGACTTGCTCTGGTCAGATCATGATGGTGTTGTCCTATGAGAAGCTGGTGGAGCCGCCCAGGGTGGAGCACGCACAGGATTCAGAGAATGGAGGATAAACAGCATCTTTCATTCAACAGGGAACCAGGTCAGACACTGAAATTAGGTACATGTAATGTCTTTTTGCATGACTCGAGAATTGGAGAAAAAATCATCTTGATGTCAACTCATGGCTCAAACAATATTATTTATAGTATTGATTATAATTAGTAATTAATAATTAATTAGTAGTTATATAGTATCAATTCTATTTAACTAATGGAAATTTAGTAAAACATTGTGCAAATGAGGAAAACTAATTTTAACTTGCACTTGCAAAAGACCATGAAATAACTGGGATAATCAATGGCTTGCTGATTTTAAATGCACTCGCTCGCGCATCAGGTGGCTTTTCACTTCCACGTCATGCATTTAAAATACTTTAACGCTCAGCAAACTGCTTATTATCTCTTATGATATGACCCTCCTCACAAACACAAAAATAAATTAATAAATTTCTTGTCACCTTAGTTCCTTTATTAATCTGGGGTTGCCACCGTGGAATGAACCGCCAGCTTATACAGCATATGTTTTATGCAGGGATGCAGGGAAACAACCATACACACTTTTACACACCCAAACACTACGGACAATTTAGCTTATTCAGTTCACCTATACTGCATGTCTTTGGGCTGTGGGGGAAACCAGAGCATCCGGAGGAAACGCAAACGCAGGAAGAACATGCAAACTCCACACAGAAATGCCAACTAACCCAGTTTAGGCTCGAACTAGCAACCTTCTTTCTGTGAGGCGGCAGCACTACCTACTGCGCCACTGTGTCGCTAAGCGTATAACTAATCATTTAATTAAAAATGAGACTAAAAATAAACATGTGTTGTACAAATTATGTTAAATTTCTACATTTAGCATCATCAGCAACAGTAGTGGGAACAGTGAATTTTTCACAGTACTGAATATTTTACAATTAATTTTTATTTAGCTGATTATTTCTTCATTTTAATTTTCAATAAAATTACATGTTCTAAGTTTTGTTTTTTTACAAGCGAAAGTTTCTTGCAGTACTGTTTTTGTAATAAATGGAAAGCAAATTCGATGTTTCCTCCCTTTTTTGGTGGATCAGAAAAATGGTCCAACCCGTGACTAAAATGCCACAATGTGATCCCAGCTGTGAGATTTGTGTTCAGTTACACCACTAGTATTTATATTTAGTTAACCACACCAAGATTACCGAGGCTTGTCAATGCATATATGACATTTCATAAGGGTCTAAATAGAAATAACAATATGTCGGCTATTTTCGTTTATCATAAATGTTTACCAATGTAATATGAAATTACATATAAAGATGTATTTACATTTCCCAGTGTTGGGTTGCAGCTGGAAGGGCATCCTCTGCATAAAACATATGCTGGATAAGTTGGCGGTTCATTCCGCTGTGGCGACCCAAGATTAATAAAGAGACTAAGGTGAAAAAGAAATACTCTTCAGATACAATTCATATACATGTATGCGTCCGCTTCAGTTTTCTCTTGTTTTATATTAGTAATTCTTCCATAAGTAGGCCTGATATTTTTTAAAGCATACCGAAGTGTACCTCTTCGCAAGAATTTTAAAAATAGACCCATCATGGCATTATGAATTCCACCTATAAAGAGAAAAACTCACTGCGTTCATTAGCATTTCCACTGTGTACAGTCTGGATTAGCGTGACTGTGACAATGTCATTTGAAAACAGACCGAAATTCCTGTCATAACTTTTATTTTGTGTGAGCCAACTGAATTAATCTAATTCAGACTCCTGCTACGCAACTTTAAGCCACAATAATGAAACAAATAAAGAGCAAAATGTGGAGCTAAGTGCTAAAAGTGGGCCACTGAATGAGAAATGCTATTATCCGCAAGCGACAGTCAACAACACATTCTCTCTGCGGCACGACAAAAAAAGGCTGTCATTGGTTAAATGAATCTATCTGTGTGATTTTTGATATTTCAGCACAGAGCAGGAGCCCCTCTTCTCTGCGGTGTGTCTGCCAAAGTTTAGCGCTCGTGTGGGGCTGTGCAGAGCAGATGCTGGAGCAGTGGGAGAGCAGAGACCCTGCCAGAGCTAGCAGACCGCGAACAGCGAGACAACACACACACGCACACACACACACAAACCATTTGGAATAAACATAGCCTTCATTCTCAAATATTTCGATTTTTTTTTCCCATTTTTTTTATTGTTTTAATGTTTTATTGTTACCCCTCATCATTTGTGAATTTATTGTTAATTATAGTGTATTTACTGAGTGACACTTTTAATGTAAATGTCATATGATTGGAGGGTCCCCTGATACAGTATGTATTTTTTAATAAATAAACACATGATGGCGCTATTGTCCCTTATTGAGATCCACACACTAAACAACTGCAGGACTTTCTGTCTTTGTATGTGTGTGTGCGTGTGTGTGTGCGCTCGAGAGAGAGAGAGAGAGAGAGAAAGAGAGAGAGAGAGAATGATAAAGGGAAAGACACTGAGTTTCTCGAAAACAAATGATTCATGCAATTATTCTACACAGATCATTGGTCATTTCTTTGGATATTTACTCATCTTAAGAAGGAAATTGAATATTTATGTCTCCTCTGGTGCACGCAATATGCTTTTTGTAGATTGTTTTGAAATAGTATTACTGTAAACTCATTAAAATCTGTGTTTACCACATACAAGAGCTTTAAATTAATGAATCAACACTGACATCATTGTGCCGTATTGTCATTCAGTTAAGCTGCTTTCGCTGAGGTGTCCTTATATAACCCATTCTTCAATTCTTTAATGTTAGAAATAGCTACATTATCGTTGATATTTTATTCATGCATCTTAAATATTTCACTGCCATTTTGGATTGTTGTTATGATGGGCCATTTCTGCTGAGTTCAGTGACGTTTCATCTGTAGCAAGGTATCCAGCAAACTGTTCCTCCATTAATGGGCCTTTAATGTGTAACCTAGATGTCTAACTGCTATTTGCATAATATTACAAATAATATAGTTAAAAAGTAAACAATTTCCTGCTGAAAAAAACAGCTAAGACCTGCCAGCCGGACCAGCTAAGACCAGCCTGACCAGCTAAAACCACCCAAAATCAGCCAGCCTGACCAGCTGAAACCACCCAAGATCAGCCAGCCTGACCAGCTGAAACCACCCAAGATCAGCCAGCCTGACCAGCTGAAACCACCCAAGACCATCCTGACAAGCTAAAACTAGTTAAAACCAGCCTGACCAACTAAAACCACCTAAGATCCGCCTGTCTGACCAACTAAGTCCAGCCTGACCAGCTAAAACCACCTAAGATCAGCCAGCTTGATCAGCTAAAACCAACTAAGACCAGCCTGGCAAGCTAAAACCAGCCTGAACCAACTAAGACCAGCTAAAAAGTGGCCAAAACCCCTTTAAAACCAGCTTGACCTGCTAAAACCAGCTAAGACCAGCTTGACCAGCTAAAATCAGCGAAGACCAAACTGACCAACTAAGACCAGCTAAAAAGCGGCCAAAACCAGCCTGACCAGCTAGGACCAGCTTTGCCAGCTAAGACCAGCTTGACCAGTTAAACCAACTAAGACCAACCTGACCAACTAAGACCAGCTAAAAGTTGGGCAAAACCCCCTCTAAAACCAGCCTGACAAACCAGCTAAGACCAGCCTGGGAAACCAGCTAAAACCAGCTTGAGTGACCACACTGTAAAACCCAACAGTCAACTTTGCCAAATGAAATGAGTGTAGTTAACTCAAAATTGACTGAAAGTTAATTCTACTCATTTGAAAAGAGTTTTGAACTCAGTGTTGAAGGTATTAAATACCTTATTACTTCAACTTAAATGGAGTAAGTTCACAGTACACTTATAGATTAGATTTTTTTTTACTCAAATGGTTTGTTCACTGGTTTAAGCTGTTTTATTTCAGTAGGGCTAATGCATGCTAATAGAAGCTAATGGTAATAGAAACTGTTTGACAACAAACATTCTACAAAATAACCAACCATACCCTCCCCCACCATTAACAATCTCATGTTATACCAAACATAAAGTATAGCCTACTTTTTACATATAAAAATATGGTTCATTAAATGTATTTTAATAATATGTTGTTCTAAAAAGTATTATTAAGAATCACACTTTTTATAATACTTCTTTGTGTCAGTGTTCTTTATTTCCCGCCTTTTTGTTTTTCAAATGTGTAACAGTCAAGCACCTCGTTACTGATTTTCTAGAGCTCCACCATTCAATCAAACAGATCAACTCTCTCTGTCAACTCTCTCTCATCAGGTAAATTATTTAATTCTTACAATGTCTTTACATTTTAGCTTTAAAGATGACTACTTTTCAATCACTCACATATTTAGTATTTTCTGTTTTGATTTCATTGATTACAGTTACAAAAAAATAAAAATAATAAAATTTAGAAGATGCTATTTGAAGCTACCCAGCAGGCACAGGGCGTCAACATGACGTCAGATTGATGTTGTACCCAACGTCATTGAACTTTGCATTTTGAGTAGAAATGAAAATTGGGTTGACGTCAGAACCCAACATCAGGGCGACGTCCAAATCCAACACCGGACAAACATTATATTTTGGTTATTTTCCAATGCAACCTAAAAACAACAAAATATCAATTTCTAATGATGTAACAGATTGACAATGCGTGGATGTTACCAATAAAACGCCAATTAGATGTTGGATGTAGGTTGCCATACCTGACAAATAAATGTTAGTAATTGACGTCAATATGACGTTGGTTAAAGATGTTGGCTTGACGTTGCATTTTGGACGTTGGGCTTTCAAACACAACCTACAATCAACAAAATATCAATGTAATTTCACGTCGTTATTGGATGTCAAATAACATTTTCTTTAGACCTAAATCTACAACCAAGACTCATTCTAAAAACATACATTTCTGCAGACCGCGAAATACATCCCAGGATGTATGTATTTTTTGCAGTTTTTGTTGTCTCGAATCCACGAGAGGTTGCTGTGTATGCTTTTTGAGATCTCAAATTTCTCTCGCGAGTGCTATTTGTCGCTGCTGTTCTCGCGTAAATCCACCGGAGGCCGCTGTAACGGACTGTTTGACTGACTGAATGACTGACTGAACGATCGAATGACCCACCCTTCTTCTTCCCTAAACCCAACCAACTTTATTGACTGACCCACCCACTTCCCTAAACCAAACCAACAGTTTTCAAAAGCAATCCAGAAAAAGAAAAGCCCTCGTCTGATTTCTACCACGTTTTTAGATTTTACCACATTCTCAGCCTGGTATACTTGTTTATTTTATTTTTTGGATTCTGTTTTTGTTTTACCTGCTTTCTTGTTTTACCGTTCTTCACTGGACTCGAATCCATCGTCATGGTCTATATTGTAAATCTAATATTAACGTCTTCTGATGTTGCGCGTCTGCTGGGTAAACACTGATTTTTATGGTTGCTTGTAATTGAACAGATCACCCTAAACCTGCAATGATTATCCTATAAAACCATGAATGTTGGTAATAGAGCTACATAAGCAATTCATACAATGCCTAAAAAAATTTTTCAATTTAAATGATTTAAACCTAAAACATTTTACATTCCTCTAGTAATTTTTATAATGAAAACAATTCATTCGAACCAAGATATGCAAAAGAATTGCAGTCCTGTGTCAGTATATATTTGTTTGACTTGTTTATAATCTTGCCCACACACAACTGTTTTGTGTCCTTGCCGCTGGCTAGGCCGCATGTTGATCCTTAATAAACAAAAATCATTCAACAAATATTGGTATTCAATGTCCGTGAACCCAAAGCATGAAATTAAGCATAAATAGACTATTATGCCTTGAGCTTTTCTTATATATGCGCTGGGTTAAGTTCAGTTTTTGACCCATAGACTTGACAGTGCATATGGGTCAAGAAACTCTGGCTAGCCTATTAGTCTAAGACAACCCGTCTTATTAAAATAATTGGAAAAGCCATTCGGGTGACTGATCTAAATCTGACATGCTGTATTATTACACTATCACTTTCAGCTACCAAGTAGGCTCTGCCCACAAAACACATTATTACCAAAGCGGTCTGTTGACTTCCAATTAAAGTCGATTAGAAACAGGTTGGTTACCAAAATTTTTTGAAACATCTTTGGTAACACGTTATATGAAGCATGTATCTATAATAGATTATACGTTCATTCATAATGTATAATACGTTCATTTTCCTTTTGCTAAGTCCCTTTATTCATCGAAGGTCACCACAGAGGAACAAACCGGCAACTTATCCAGCATATGTTTTACACAGCGGATGCCCTTCCAGCCGCAACCCAGTACTAGGAAACAACCCTATTCTGTACACTCATTCACACCCACACTCATACTCTACGGCCAATTGTAGCTCATCCAATTTACCTATAGTTGAAGTCAGAATTATTAGCCGCCCTGAATTATTAGCCCCCCTGTTTATTCCCCCCCCCCCCCATTTTCTGTTTAACAGAGATTTTTTTTTAGCACATTTCTTAATATAATAGTGTTAATAACTCATTTCTAATAACTGATTTATTTTATCTTTGCCATGATGACAGTACATAATATTTTACTAGACCATTTTTCAAGACACTTTTATACAGCTTAAAGTGACATTTAAAGGCTTAATTAGGTTAATTCTGCAGGTTAGGGTAATAGGGTATATGCCGAGCTAGTGCTGTTCCCATGCTGATACACTTCCAGTGACCTGTTATTGTGAACTTTTTACCATTTTATACGGTTCCTTATACAGCATCGATGTTGTAATGTCATTAAAATACATTCAGTTAAATAAACTTTAGCATTCATTTAGTTGCTCAAGCGTAAAACGAGACAAAAAGCTGTTTACTCGCACGCGCCCGTCAGAATTGGCAGGCTAACGCAGAAGCTCCATTGAATATACTGGGGTAAAATAAATGCTCATATTATAAAGATATGGCGGGGGAAATGTAATTGAATGCAGTGCTTCTTGTACAATCTGAGACCCACTTTAAATCGGATATCACTCAGCCAGTGGAGATCGCTGATTTTTATAGAAAACAGACCTTAAACGCACTGCTGGGTAAACACTGATTTTTATGGTTGCTTGTAATTGAACAGATCACCCTAAACCTGCAACCTATATTAGGTTAGATTTAGGTCATGACGTCAGGTGACCAAAATTCAACGTCTAACCAGTGTCCAGGGACAATGTTATTTTGATGTCCAATAACGCCCTATTCACACAGGGCTTCAGTATCAATGCTTCCCGTTCACTTTGAATAAGTGATGTCAGGCATTGCCGAACTGCATTGTGGATCCGTCTGCGCCTCTTCAGAGGCGCTGCTCGCTGCCAAAGGTGGGA